GGACGACGGCGTAGATTGGGAGTTGTATGGAGACGGTGAGCAGTAAGTAGTCGAATGGGACTTCGACTCTGGTAGGGGGGTAATGAAACATTTGTCTTTCCGTTCTATTCCTTGTACTACTAGCGCCCATACTGGCGCCTGTTTTAGCGCTCACCCGCAGGTTGAACATTATGTAGCTTACATAATGGGGTCCGTGCGCACTTCGTGCCTGGTATCGTACCACTACGTTTCTTTCTTCACTAACACGACCACATAGACACGATGGTCCGTGCGCAGTCGGTACTTGTATAAGTAGTTGTACCATTAGTCGGTCGAACCCTAAGTTCGACCTAGTTATTCATTCAAGTCTCTGCTCCTCTTCGCTTGGGGTAGTGGTCATTCTCGACTTCCTCGCTCGATCTTCAGGACGACGTACTGTCCATAAGTCCTCGCTCGTCGTCTACGAGTCAGGCATCGATATAGGAGTAAAGACCATTGTATCAGTAGACGTCGATGGAGCCTTCGGCGTCGATGGCATGAACAAGGCCTTGACAGGCAGCCATAATGGGAGGGAGGAAGGGGAGGTGCGCGTGCTACAAAAGTGTCACGACTTGGTACGGCGTCTAGCCGTTTTTTAATTTTTTCCTTTTCACGGGCTCGAACCCGTGACCTCTGTACTACATGCCTGATATGGACGCATCACTATCTACTGTACGATTAGATTAGATGGGGCGGCAGTGCACAGCACAGCTCGGGCTCCGCTGACACAGCCGCTCTGACTCACCGGCCCCCGGGGCCGCGTCAGCATGCTGCGCATGGACCAGCTGTGCACGGACCAGTGCGCACAGCCTCCCCTAAACTTCCCCTGTATATAAGCCGGCCTCTGCTGCCCTAGGGACCTCAGTTTCGACCTCTTGTCCCTAGGTCAGTAAGCCTTCCCTTGTATCCTTTATTTACTTCACTAACTAATATATTATCTTGTCCCTAGCCTTAGGTTTGAGCTTCGCTCACCATCGCTTCAGTGAGAATCAGTCGGACGCCCCCAGCTTTAGGTTTTCCCCAGTCGCTTGACCCCAAGTCGCGACAAAAAGGCCGTATAAGCTAGCCTACACCTATGGCGCCTGAGGTAACACTGAGGTTCGCAGTTCACGTGGGGCCCAGTACTGCTTTTGGCTAGTATGCAGCAGGAACCTAAGCCACGTGTCTGTGAGGACAAGTACCGCCCACTGAAGTGCAGGTACCGAAGAGTTCATCCCTCGAGTGGTGGCGATGTATGGTACACTATCTATGTATCATAGGGTATAGTAAGGGTGCGCACCACCCAACCTATAGGAAGTGAAGAGAGTGAGTGTGTGGGTTCCGAGGAACACCGGCAGCGGTGGGGAGTTTCGACCTAATGTTGCGACTTAGGGTCAAGCGACAGGGGAAAAACCTAACAAGAACGCTGGGGGCGTTCGACTGGGTCTTACCGAAGCGATGGTGAGCAAGGCTCAAACCTAAGGCTAGGGACAAGATAACATATATTAGTGAGGTAATAAAAGGAATACAAAGGATGCTTACTGACCTAGGGACAAGAGGTCGAAACTGAGGTCCCTAGGGCAGCAAAGGCCGGCTTATATACAGGAGAAGATAAGCGCAGGCTGTGTGTACTGGTCCATGCGCAGCTGGCCCATGCGCAGCATGCTGACGTGTCCCTGGGGGCTGGTGAGTCAGAGCGGCTGTGTCAGTGGAGCCCGAGCTGTGCCATGCACTGCTGTCCTATCTAATCTATCTACAAGCACATGATGTGCCAACAAGACTTGTCCGTTCGAGCGTACAGTACAGAGGTCGCGGGTTCAAGCCCGCGGAAAGGAAAAAATTTAAAAACGGCTAGACGCCATACCAACTTGTGACACCAATGCTCTAAAAATACCTCAAGAAGCTGCACGAGAACATTGACATGCATGGCTCCAAGACATGGAGGCAGCATGTTCCAATGTGTCTCAGATGCATCGTGTTCTGGCTTATATGATGGTGTTTATTATATAATGTAGGTAGCATACTTTGTCAAGTGCCCAGTCACTCAATCAAGGCAACTACCCTCCAAGCACTGCTGTTTACAAATGTTTTGTGCCAGCCATCACAGGGAGGTAGAGGGGATTAAGATTGTGGAGTTTGAATTTGCACACGATGTTCACATGACATTCACATGACATGTGGCATCAGTTCTAGTTTAGGATACAGTACTTAGGATGTAGCAAGAGTACCACCATCAAATGCAGCCCCTCTTACCTCCCGAAGATGGCGGGAAGGAGCCTGTATGTTGATGAAGTATGTTCTTCAGTTTCTGACAAGGGAGCATGTGACGATCAGTCGCTGCTCCGTCCGATGGACCTGTCACATCACGCAATACGTCACATCGAGTGACGCCGTTACGCCTCTTTGTTCTGTTCTGTGCAGGCGTACTCGACGCCACACCAAACGCTGCCCCGCTTTGACTGAGGTGGCATTCATACCCATCATAGAATATTCAGATATATACCCACGAGTCGTGCATATCCGTCTCCCACAGAAAAGATCTGCCCATTCCGCACTCCGTGAGTTCAAACTTCGTGTTGTCATTGACAGTGGACGCTAAGTGTCTGACTGTGGTCGTAGCGTTGTTTTGATCACGTTCCTCCTGTGGCCGACGCAACTGTGCCATATAAAGCATGACGAACCCTTCAATGTCCGATGCCTCCATCACCTTCTCGGGTTGGGCCTCGAGCTCGAGCATGTCTCGCCTCGATGCCACTCCTAAATCGCGCAAGAGCCTCGTCAACATTACCAACGGCAAACAGAAGAAAAGAGATGACCCCGACAATTATAATGGCTGGCGTCACGAGATTCTCAATAAAGTCAACATGGTCGAGGACACCCCGGTCCTTAAATTCATCGACAAGTACGTCCCCGGGGGCAAGCCTTATCGCGCGCGGAAAACAGCGATAGACGACCCTTTCGCGCCGCTATGGACCGAACATCTGTTGAGGAACGAGTTCCACATGTACCCACATCTCGTCAGTATCACAACATTGACGCTCTCTTGCATCCTGTGGCTGATACTTCCTCAGGTCACTGGACTGAACCAGCTCTGCAAGGGCATGCCACGAGGTAGTCACCTACTCTTTGTCGAAGCACATGGTGTTATGTTTGGCTCGCCTTTTCCAGACTGGACACCCAGCCACGGGAAGATATCGCCTGACATTGCCGCGCTCAAGCCCGGCGTGAAGAACGCAAATGCGTTTAATAACGACAACAACAAGTGGAAGCATGTATCCTTGATTGTCGAGGTCAAGAACTGCAGGCATGTCGACCCGGTGATGAGTGAAAGTGAGGAGGCTCAGAAGACCCTGATGCAAATGAGCAAGGTTGCATGCCGGCTAATGCTAGAGCAAGCTTCTCTCTGCTGTTTTGTCCTTGGCATCTATGGAAAGAAGGCTCACATCTATCGATACGACCACGCATCAGCTATTGCGTCGGAAGCATTCGACTACCGTGAGTATCCCGACTACATTCGTAGGTTCCTCTGGAACTTCGCAAATCCAGCGTCTGGGCTGGAGACACTGGGTCAAGACGACTTGTCCTCGAAGCCAACAGGGAGAGATATGCTCTGGGCGCGGGATGTATCTGGGGACAATTGCACCCCTTCCGATATCGACCACAATCGCTGGGTCACTGTACCGTCCTCGACCAGAAATGGAAGGGACGAAGATTATCTCTTGCTCCGGGTACTCTCCATGAACTACCGGATGTTCTCTCGTGCTACCATAGTCCGCGAAGCTCTGAAACGAGGAGATATGTCGGGTAAAAGGTACATCATCAAGGAATCATGGCGGCAAGTCGTGCGCTCGGATGAAACGGTCTTCTACAAACGCATCAAGGAGTACTGCGAGCGTACCAAGACACCCCTGTTTGGGATTGGAGACCTTGTCTGCGGTGCTGACCTTGGGGCTCGAGAAGTAGCAGCTGGGAAAGATCGTAGTAAGTACTTCCATCGGACCGTATCTTCAGAGCATCGAGAAAGCGCCCATCCGGAGTTGGGCGAACGCAGCCACATGCGTCTGGTTTTGGGCACTGTTGGTCGCCAGTTGAAAAACTTCCTTCGTACATGGCAGTTTATCTTCGCAATCCACGACGCAATTTTAGGTATGTAGACCGGTGCCAACGTGATTTGTGTGCAATCGCTGAAGTCATAATGGTTTCAGGACATCAGCTGGCGTACATGGCGGGCATCCTGCATCGAGATGTCAGCCCTGGAAATGTGATGATCACCGAGGAAAGCAAACGATTCAAAGGGTTCATCACTGATTTCGATTACAGCAGCTTGATCGATAGTTCTGCGGACGGCGGGACACCTCTGACCTCAGATGAACTTTCTGTACTTTCCTCAAGAGATGCAGAACTTCGTGAAAGAACAGTGCGTATTTTGTGTGCCAACATGTCAACATAATGCTCAATTTGGTGACACAGGGAACATTTGCCTTCCTCGCTCTTGAGCTCCTGAACCTCGCACCAGGCCAATCCGTCACTCACAGCGTGCACCATGACATGGAGTCCTTCTATTGGCTTCTCATCTGGATCGTCCTAAGACATACAGAGCACACACACTTCAAGGTCAATGGTGCATGCCATGAGGTCTTCCGTAGCGGCGATGAGGCAAGCGCAGCGCATGCAAAGCAGGCCTTCATTGTGAGCGATCGTCCGATAGAGGTCAAGGGTAACAAACCCCTGTCGCATCTACTGTCGACGCTGTGGCATCTTATGACACAAACGGTCAAGTCCGCCATCAACCCACGACCTGCCCGTCTCACGCACGCGGAGATGCTGCGTGCATTCAAAGAAGCGCTTGACATGGATGGATGGCCGGAAAATGATACCGCTATCCCTTTCAAGCCTCCTCAATCCAGCCCCAATAGCCCAAAGCAGTCGCGTCGAAAAACTACCACGAAGAGGGGAAGAGCGACTGTTTCTGGTAGTTCAGAAGAAGTACCGGTATCGAAGAAGACCAAGACGGCGCGCAGATTTGACAACGAAGAAAATGACGATATCGAAGATCTGTGATGTTGTCTATTGTATTGTTGCCCTTATTTTTTGATCTTGCACGCTCTCGATGTATTCTGTTCATGTTTCCTTAGATTCTCACCTGCTTCGATCTGTATCTGTATCTCATCAGCATCATATCGTGTACTGGTAGTACCGTTCATATGCACACGACCGCCCATGTATTGTTCAGCCACCGGATATGTAATGCATATGTGAGCCAAAGGAAATGAAATCCTACAATTGTTCATTTAAGCTATGTTCTAACCACAATCCCGCTGTCCAGCCTGAAGATGGGCCGTACAGAGCAGCACCCCGGCCCGAGGATACAACCTCCAACTCGAGTGAACAACATCCTCAAACAGAATCTGCCTAGATCAAAATCGAGTTCGAATATAATATTTTATAGGCACACATCAACTGCTAAAATCTGGAACGTTATACAAAGGTGCTAAATATCTCATCATCACTCGATCAAAGTGTTGCGCGAATGAAAACTTGGTGCTCAGACAGTTTGCGACACATATTCGAGACCAATTCCACGACCCTTCCACGATATGACGACGGCACGGAAGCGCTGGGGTAGTTGTACGCCTCCGTAGCCTTTTCGAGTGAGAACTTCTGCACCATCGTCCTGATGCTGTGTACCTTCGCAGACCAGACGCAGCCTTAGTTCTCGCTGTCCGGCGCAACGCCACGGATTGACAGCCACTTCGTGACGCGCGCGTCGAGGTTGATCGGCGCACCGCCTGTGAGCACAGCGATGAACAGCTCGCCCCCGAAGGTGAGCCCCGGGTGCAGTGTGCGGGAAACGTCCGGGTTCGGCGCGATGCGTGTGATGAGCTTAGCCTCTCTGCGAGGCATCCGCCTGGTCTACTTTGGAGCCGTCGACTCCAGTCGCCAACACCAGATTCACTGTGCTGCTGCGAAAAGTGAGGATCAACGTAAGGCTATCGTTGCAAACCGAGGAACGCACATGTTGAGGCCACATTTGCACAGCCCTCAATCCATCTTCTGCCTCGCGCTCCCGCTTCAGCGCCTCAAAGAACGCAGGCTTGTACGGCGTCTGGCTCCGCCGCACGACTGGCGAGGGGAACGAGTGCAGCGTACTTAGTGCAAGCAGATGGAAGCAGTGCGGATTCGCTTGATGCCACTAGATGTGAGACGTGCATGTACATTTGTCAGAGGCGCACGCCGAGATACGCTTTGCCACATACAGTTTCGCCTCCGCTGGAGTCGATCCAGCTCAGCCAGTCTGCCTCGGAGTCGCATTCGTCCAGCGTGGTGCAATACTGAGTGTAGTTCTGGTGAATATACAGCGACAACAGAGACACATCGACAGGCGAGTCCGCATTCAACGTCTGAATTCCATCGTTGTGAACCGAGGAATCTCGGACCTGTGATAGAGCGAGTGCTCACTTCGATATCGACTCTGGACATCCGACGTTCGTGCACCCTGAGATGCGGCGGCAACGTCGGTGGGTCATTCAGGGTGGCATCTAGCTCTTTGTCTCGCTGTTTGTCCTTTGCAGAGGCTGACGCATTTGGCGGGTCTCCCTTTCCTGTCCGCCATCTCTCTCATCAGGTATGAGAGGTGAACATTGAATATATGCGCCTTACGTTTGTTGTACAGGAGCTTTGCGAGTAGGTGAAATAGCGCCAGGCTCTGCTCCCGCCTTGTAATTGCCCCCAACATTGCACGTGCCTGAGACATCTTTTGCTTGCCTCCCTTCACGGCCGCACCACCCGCCTGCGCACCCGCCTTTGTAAGACATGCAAACTGAAGTGCCATGATAGCGCTACGGATGTCGCCGTTCGACGACTCGACGATGACGTCGATGACCTCTTTTGGCGGCAAATTATCTGGTACGGAGCGAAAATGCTTGTCGAGCAGGGTCTGGAGGGCAGGGCGCATGAGAGAGGGGGCGATCGGGTTAAAGCTGTGATAGCGAATAAATATCGTGTCTACAGTCAGGATTAAGGCCAAACGTACCGGACTTGTGTGACATAGGGCGAGTTGATCAGCGAGGGCGGTAGTACGCTGCGCACGTCAATCGCTTCCTTCCCTCTTCGCCAGCTGCCCCCGTCATTCTCAACATCCTCTCCACGCAAGCCTGCATCACTTACGATGATCACAAGCGGCGCCACACTTGTGGCAGGCAACGACACGAAATCCTCGATCGCGCTATGGAATGATGCTTGCGTGCCAGGATGTAGAATATTAGGGAGATCTTCCAAAAGAATCACATGCCGTTTTCCGTCTGGTGCTACGCTAGATTGTGTAGTGGGACCTTGGCTAGATGCATTAGGCCGACTCGAGCCCTGCGCGAGAGGTCTAGACGACTGCGAAGATCGTGTAAGGTGACTCCTGAGCACCTGTCCAGAAGAGAAAACGGACTGGCAGGTCCCCGCGCGAGTGAGGAAGTTCCTGAACTTGTCTACGAGGCTTTCATACTCCATGTGCTCCACGTCTGCTCCGTCGTTCTCAAAGGCATTGTCTCGGCTGAATCGCTCGTCCGTGCTGTTGCGCCACTCCATAACCTGAAAGTTCAACTCACGCGACAGAACTCGCAATGTGGCGGTCTTTGCCGTGCCTGCAGGCCCAGTCAAAGCTAGTATCCGCTGGATGAAGTCTATATGCGTATGACAATCTCAGTGGATTGGCAACGTACCCTATACTGCTTCAACCTGCCTGAAGGTCCTCCGTTGAATGATTCGAGGAGCCATTGACAAACGTCCGATACTTTCCGTTTGTGGACAGCCAGGTCGTCCTGCATAGATTGCATTAAGAGCCGAAGAGAGTCTGCGTATGGACATTTCGTACCTGGGTGACAGGCTCATAGCGATCAACCCATAATGAATCTGACAGTCATTAAGCGTGTCGTACAGTGTTAGCAGTTGGAGACACACCTGAGTATTGTCCTGAACTCTCAAGGCCAGTCCCTGTCGCTGTCGCTTTGGTCTTTCCCTTCCTCCTCGAGTTCCCAGCATCCGGTGTTTGACGCTCTGGTTGACTTCCCGAGAAGTCAAAAACTGGAGGTCTCACAATCTGCAGACTAAGTTCATAAATATCGTTCAGAAGTTCTGTACACTTAGCATGGAGAGTCGTGCTGAAGTGTATGTACGAATCGGAGGACAAGGCATACCGATGTCAGGGTCTTGCGCTTTTTGGTGGCGGGTGGGCCGGCAAGATCTGGCGAGTCTAGCCGAAGAGGCCTGATCTAGGATGAGGATGGCTGTTTCGCCTGACTTTGCCTTGCTGATTTCCGAGGTGGCATGGTATGCAGGCACGACGTGGTGCAGATGAAGACGCGACGCGTGACTAGACGCGTTTGTCACGCGTTTCGATCACAGGCGCGTCGCTTGACTGCTCGCATTCATTGATCTACTTCGTCGATCCTTCCTTCAACCCTTCGCAAACTCATGATACCCGGATCTGACTACAATATCGCTTGCCTCATCAATATGTACACCAAAATTCGCGCGCTGTGTGCTTCTCTCCAGCTCATCGTATTGGATCATCTCCGTGACAAGTTGAGAGCCCAGGATGCCGACATACGGAGACATTCTCACACCCGTACCTATTAGGATGCGGTTGATCGGTCCTTGCGCTGGCAGAGCGCATCAAGACAATGACTAATCCATGTATGGTAGAACTGATCTCTCCGTCCGGCGTTGCATTGAAATTATTCCTTACTCAGCGGCGCCAGCGAGTACATTGGTAAGAAAAAACTCGGGAGTATATATATGCATCATGCAGCCATGGCGATCCCCCGATCATACTGTCATTCACCGTAAAGTCCGAAACCTGAGACTTGTGAACCGACGACACTCTACGCTATGCCCGCCGCCCTCTTGCCGAAGCTTTTCCAGCCCACCAAAGTTGGGACATTCACCCTGTCCCACCGAGTGGTGTTAGCCCCCCTCGCGCGATTCCGTGCAAACAAGGCACACGTTCACGGTGATCTAGCGGTGGAATATTACGCGCAGCGCGGGTCTGTGCCTGGTACGCTCCTGGTCACAGAGGCCACCGTCATTGCCGCAAAGGCAGGAGGATACGATAACGTGCCTGGTATCTGGAACGATGAACAAATCGTGGCCTGGAAACGCGTACGTCCACTGTGCTGTCCATACGCTCGTGCTAAAGCTGCATACCTGTTGAGTTAGGTTACAGACGCTGTTCACGCCAAGGGTTCGCGCATCTTCTGCCAACTGTGGGCCTTCGGCAGGGCTGCGACTCCGTCTGTCCTGGAGCAGGACGGCTTTGACGTCTGCTCTGCCTCCGACATCCCTATAGCCGATGGGACGGCGAAACCCCGGCCGCTGACCATCCCAGGTCAGCCTTCTGCAGCTTCATCACTCTTACTGATGCGATCCTCCGTGCAGAGATCCATGAATATGTTCAGCTGTACACTGCTGCCGCAACCAACGCGATCCGTGCGGGCTTCGACGGCGTCGAGCTGCACGGCGCGAACGGGTATCTCATTGACCAATTCCTGCAGGACGTGTCAAACAAGCGCACAGATGAATACGGTGGCTCTGTCGAGAACAGGTGTCGTTTCGCGCTCGAGATTATTGACTCAGTGGTAAAAGCGATCGGCGTAAACAAAGTCGCCATTCGCCTGAGCCCCTGGAGCACGTTCCAGGGTGTGTCCCAAGAGTCTTTTAGTGTCCTTGCGTTCCTTGATGTTGCATTCACTGCCAGACATGGGCATGAAAGACCCGAAGCCGACGTTCGCCTACCTTGTCTCACACATCGCCGAGGCGCATCCGGACTTTGCGTATATCCACGTCGTCGAGCCGCGCGCGGAAGGAGGGTCAGATCGCATCGTACTTGCGGCTGAGGTGCACAAGCTTGACCGCCTCTCGATGCGCTGACTCACCTTTCACATACAGTCAAACGATTTCCTGCGCGAGATTTGGGCACCTCGCCCGTTCATCGCAGCCGGCGGCTTTACGCGTGACACCGCATTCGAGGCGTCAGAGAAGACTGGCGAGCTGGTTGCGTTCGGACGGTTTTTCATCTCCAACGTTAGTAGTCTTGTCTTGATGCTTTCGGGAGGATATACTCACAGCATATTCGGCAGCCTGACCTTCCGTTGCGACTCGCGAAGAACTTGCCCATTGTCAAGGGCAATCGTGACACGTATTACCTTGTTGAGTCTCCCAAGGGATATATCGACTATCCGTTTGTCGACGAGACAGCTGCGAGGGTATAGACTTCTGCCACGCCTTCATGTGGGGAATTGCAAGACGATCACTAGATGTATTATATCACAGGGAAGTAAAGCGAGGGAGGTAGAGCACATTGGCGTTGCTGTCTGTTGTTCGTCCATTAGACGGAAGATACCAGTGAAACAAATTCTATGAGTGTAAATAAGGGTACTCAGCTGCTCTCAGCAAAGTTCGGACAATGCACGTCATGACATATTGCGACACGTTGTAGTCGACTTCATTTTGGCCATCCTGTGGATGATACGGGCGTATCGCCGTGCATTTCTACCACGCCTGTGCTTCTAATTTGTCAGCGGCGTGCAGGTCACTGCGCTCAATTAAAGCAAGCAAACATAGGTTAGTACACGCGACCATAAAGCACAATGATCCCTGAGACAAAGATGATTTACATAAACCTGCCCGCATGTGCCCAACCTTTCGACATTGTCGCTCCTTGTGAGTTTCATCTAGTGCCCTCGAGGAAGGCGACACTGGTGAGATCACACTTCGTATCATACTCATTCCGTGCCCATTATCTTCTCAGCGTTTGATCCCGCGCTCAGATAGTGCAAATCCAGTCTATGTTGAATGACACACAGATACGAGGCCCAAGCATGCGCGCCGCGAAGTGGGCCGAAGGTTGATTTTTCACCATCCATTGAGCACCCCGTCTCGGTGGATCTCCGCTTTCGACGGTGTTTGAGCGATTTATGTGCAGTCGAGAAGCGGGACGTCCCTCCCAGTCAGAGCATGGACGGAGGTACCGCGAGAAGAAAAATGCAGTCGTCCTTGCAACGTCGTTCAAGGCCGCTAGAATATGGAATGGCATTCCAGCATCCGCTTGGGGAAGCATTGTCTTATGTCGTGACATAGCAACAGAGCAGGCGAGAAAATGCAAACTTGAGAGGGTCGAGGAAGCTCATGGCTGAGTTTCCAAAGCGCCACACCATCATTGCCGACTGGGCCCTGAACTAGAGTCGATCGAGGTAGACTTAGCCTTATAGCGGCTTTGGTCCTGTCACTATTGAAAGTGGATTGTCAGAAATATGAACGTTCGTGCAATTCGTCGAACCTATCGCTCGCCGCTTGTACTGCAGATACGAAGACCAGACTCGTGTACCGATAATGGAT